CTTTATGATACATTCTTTTAAATTGTGATTTACAATTGTTAATGTCCTTTTTTCAATACAATAAAACATAGTTTTCTGTATAATTACCACACTCAGTCATGACTCCTATGAGAGGCTTATGTTTCATTGGCAGCTTGGCTTGAAATATGTGTGAATGTACTTAGAGGAGAGGGACATATATATTTTGTAATTCTCCGAGATGTTTGTCTTTTTTGTTTGCATTGAGAGACAAACTTATGTTAGATAGCATATGCTTTATGGCAGCATGAGTCATTTAACTCGTGCTCAGGTTCCTGTTTTAAAAGCATACTCTATGAAGAGTTGTATGAAGAGTTTTGGAAAAGTGCAAGTGGTATTAGAAAAAGTCAAGAACCAGAGGAATTCCATTACATGTCATTTAACTTTTAACCAAAGCAACTTAAATTAGTGTATTCATCATCTATGAGGGGCCTGGCTCTACTCTGCCTTTTTCTCCTGGCGTCCGAACTCCTCACATTATCTCTTAGGCTGAGCCCAGCTATCCCACCCAAAAGATTAATTTTGGCCATTTGTCTGATCACGTTCTTTCGGTCTAAGTAACTACAGAGAGCTCATGACCATAAATGAGTGTTGGTTAGAATAACTGGTAAACCAGTCTTCATCATAACGGTCCAGTATAATGGCTATATTACTGCTGACACAACACTGACCTGCCTGTCCATCTCCCACTCCACCTACTCCTCACTCGTGAACAAGACCCCACGATACTTGAAACCCTTCACTTGGGGCAGCAGCCCAACCCAGAGAGAGTAATCCACCATCTTAAAAGATATGACTGGCTAAAAGGCCTGAACATAAATCCCGTAAAAGCAGTAAAGTGGACTGATAGGTCCTGACTTCATGTCCTCATATTGTCACCATATTAAACTGTAGTCTGCAGTAAAGTGACTGAGGGGGTTCCTCGGGTACTGTATGTCCTCAGAACACCTGTATGCTGTGGCTCATTACTGAATCAATAGGGGTGCACTAAGGGCTAAATCTGGTTAGTGAGACAATGAGTGCGGGAGATTAGGTGAAGCAGTCAAAATCGAGTCGGCTGCGTACAGTGCGTCTGCTGAATGAATGTGACATGGTCTGGTCTTCCTATTGTGTCACCAGCTTGTCCCGCTGTTACAGCCGTCTCCTAAGGACGAAAACGTTTTTACGGTTGATTCCAAATTTTGAAAATGAGTTTTTTTAACATGTGTTAGCTGTTTGATCGAGTATGTACATTTAAAATAAGTACTCTGGATGTTTTCTCCTGACTTTGTGCCGCTATTACTTCTTTGAAAAACAGTTTGTCACTGAAGTGCAATGAATCATGGGACATGATGTAAGGATCCATCCAGCGGAGCCTCCGTTGCTTGGGGCTGGAAGGACACATTCGTTGGCCACATTCGGAGGAGCCTTTGAATTGTGACTAGTCTTACCGCTATGACGCAATCAGTCTACAAATGTAGTTTATGAAGGATGCAGCCTCTAAATTAAGACACAGCTAATGTCTAACCTGTCTTTCAAGTGGTTGACGGAACCATGGTAACATTCTGTATTTGACAGGTAACGTGTCGGCTGGTGCTTGAGACAACAGGAGGATCAGCATTAACGTTCTTATTCTCATCAGAGGAGGATGCCTCCTAATCCTTCTCCACACTATCCTCTGACATATTCTCCTCTTTGTCATTTTCACTGTCAAATAGCTGAGACAAAAGCTCACTGGCAGAAAACCTTTTCTTAGATGTTATATTTAATTGAGAGTGGGCATGAAGAGAAAGCACACAGAGCACCAGGAGAGATGGTTTCCCATGTCGGCTGAACCATCAGTGGTTCTTGCACTACAGGTAATGTTGGGATATTGGCAGAGAGATGTTTTTTGAAGAATATAAAATTACAAGTTATAGTGATCTCAATATCATCCTAAGCAACCAAAATAAATGTGTCATATGTTTTTTTATTTTACCAGTTTCTCTTCTCTGATGTTTCATACATATTTTTTGTGTATATAGAAGGTCTGTAAAATTAAAACGCCTGTGGTGAACTCCTCTCTTCCACAGAAAACATTGCTCCTTTGTCAGTAGTTCCACGCCTGGTTGCCTATTCTGGCACACCACTAACAAAGCCAGGTAAAGCAAGAGCGGAGCCCGACATTTCCTACCAGCACTGGATTGTTGTTGAACAATCACAACAAAGTGGGTCAGCTGGCCAATCAGAGAAGACCGAGTTTTACTGGGAGGAGGCCTTAAAGAGACAGGAGCAAAAACCAAGCATTTCAGACAGAGGCTGAAAAGAGGAGCTGCTGCAATAAACAGAATGAGGAAAGTGATCTGTTTTCAGAGCAAATTAATATTATTAACCTGATCATGGGCATAATATATCTAAAATATTATATAAAAATAACAAGTTTGTTCTCCTTTTGATAGAAAAGGATTTGATTAATTTAAACTCTGGAACGTGATTTAAACCATTATTAAAACAATAACTGAATAAGATGATCCTCTTGTGCAAATGTATCCTCCTCTGTGATATGTGAAATGACTTCACAGCATACTTCAGACCTGGTACTACTAAAGGTGTCCAGTTCAAATCTCTGCTTTTAAATTCAGGATTTAAAAAAAAAAGAGTCAGGTCAAATGTTTCACACGGGTGAATCAGATTCTTTAAATGCGTGACAACTTCATGAAAATAATGGACCTGGGACAAAATGTTAGCACTGAAAGCAACTGATTTATGGCTTTTCTCATTTGTAAAATAAGTGTCATAGCTGGGAAAGTTTTGTGCTCGGAAAGTATCTGTCATGACTGTTCCAGTTTAGAGGACAGTCTGAAATTAGCCCTGTGATGTTAAAAGTTTGATGAGATATGAAATGGGTGCTGTGTGCTCCAGAGTGTCCTTTCTCTGCATGTGGATGTTTATGGGAGTGTGATATGAGGTGTTTCTAGTTGCAGCATTAAATGGAGTATACATTTTATGAGTCCTTTTAAGAAGAGCTTCTCCTTGTGGTCTGACTTCCTGCCAAAACCTTTATAAAGAGATCAAATCTGAAACTGAATGCAGTGGTCCACCAGGAGGAAGTGTCATGTTTTCTAATCAATGTTTTCAGTAAAAAGAGAACTGTTGAACATTGTACCTCAAACAATCCTACAACATCACCACCCCCTCATAGTCTGTATCCTCTTCTTTCCTCCTTCTTCTTCCTGTTACCTTCCATTCTTCCGGATCTCCCATCAGCAGGGGAACCCAGTGGCTGACACTGCAAAGTGAAGGGTGTTTTGTGTGCAGCAGAGTGTGTTAGCATGCCGGCGTGTAAAAGGCATTATCCAGCCTAATAAGCTGGTTCAGTGGAAGGTTAAGAGGCAGATTGATTGGGATCACAGCCAGATCAGCACATTCTTCCCACCCTTAGATCACTGACAGCACATCACCAGTGAAATGCTGATGATTCAAAAATGTGCCTTTCCTTTTAAAGTATTTTTTATAGGGGGTCATACAGTCACAAACCGCATGTGCAGTACTGCATGATTATTATTAGCTGTTTTCACTGTGTGTATTTTTTTCATATATTTTCTCAAATTTTCCAATGATTTATAATTCCCTTGTTAAACATATATACTTAGTCATACTTTAGGCTTGAGCACGGTTAAACTTCACACATTACACTGTTGATACAAACTCACCACCTATATCCATTTCAAATTAAAAACCCTCTTGACTGACAGGGCTTTAATTGCGAAAAATCTGCTGGCACAATATATAAAACAACAGATGGGTGGGGGTAAAGACAATAGTGTACACATACACCCAAGGTTGTGGAAACACCCAGATTAATTAATTAAATAAAAGGGTTGGAAATTTACATTTCTCTTAAAGGTTCAGTGTGTAGAATTTAGTGACATCTAGAGGTGAAGTTGCATCTTGAAGCAGAACACCCCTCACCTCACCCTCCCCTTCCCAACATGAAAGAAAACGTGGTGAACTTCAGTTGTCATGAAAACTCAAAAGGTTTTAGTTTCTCAAGTTTGGACGAAAGTAAAAAAACATGGCGGCCTCCACAGAGTAAATATAAAGTATTTCAATATAAAGGGCCCAAAGAAAACAACAATTCATACGATTTAGATGAAACACACCAGTGAAAACATCACTAGGATTGTTGTGAGCCTACGTACCCTTTTCAAGACTACGACTCCCTCTTGACTTTGGCCATCAGAGATAATTTCAAACATGTTGCCCTCATCTCCTGGAACAATGGTATAATCCACCTCTGCATTGCTGCCAGCATCCAAATCGTGGGCCCGAATCCGACCCACCGCTGAGCCAACAAGTGCAGACTCTGGCACCCGTAAGTGGAATATACCTGAGCACACGAGAGACTGGTTTAATACATCCATTTCAACAGACAAAGCAGTCAAAGATCCAGAGACCCATCTTAACAATCCAACTAATCAAACGTCACTGCTGAGACGATCTTACTCTTAGCAAAGCGGGGCGGGTTGTCGTTGACATCGCTGAGGGTGATATTGATGGTGGTGGTGGACGCCAGCCCCCCCAGCTGACCTCCCATGTCTTTGGCCTGGAGAAGAACCTGGTACTCCTCTTTCACCTCGCGGTCCATGTTGGCTAGTGCTGTCCTGATAACTCCTAGAGGAGTTGGACAAGCAGAGGGGTGTAGAGAAGTGATTATATTATTGATTCATAATATTTTAGTAATATATACTTCATTAGTCCAAAGTATTACATATAAAAAGCCCCCCCTGTTCATCCACAGAATAGAAGAAGGAGCAGCATTGTTTCAGGCAAAGACAGTCAGAGATTCAGCAGGAGCCAGGACGGAATGGTCTGAAAGGATCCTACTTTTCAGTTACAGCTAGATTTCTTGGTTTCTTGAGGTGATCAGCTAGAAGCTGCAGTGCTCTGACCAGCTAATCAGACAGAAAACCTTGTATTCTGACATCCTTCAACTCAATTTGCATTTTCTTTTTTGTCAGAGCTGTCTGAATTTAAATTTCATTATATGATGCAGTTGAAATTCAAAAAGCAAAATTTCAAGTGATGACACTAGAAACACACACGTGACAGTATAATTATTCCAAGGCATTAACAAACTCATCAGTCAGTGATCCTAAGTGGTGCTGTGCACAGTATTTGGTAGGAATCTGTACATCTTGAGCAGTAGTGTGAACATATTTGCATCTAAATGTGTGAAACATCAATGTCGGTATAAACTGTTTATACAGATTTTTGCTACAATCATTGTGGCACTATGGACATTCCAGTGAATGCTGCCTTCTTATCTGTATTAGCAGCAGACTACAGGAGGACGTGCAAGAATGTTACTTAGTGCACAATGATGTTCTTATTCACTGGATTTCTTTTGGTGAGGTTGGTACATCCTAGACTTGGGTTACCCAATTATATAATGTATAAATGTTGGTGTCAAAAGGTCAATGCGGAAAAGCTCTGAACATGTTCTAGCTATAAATCGGATCCTTTTAGTGTTGCCTTTCCATCTTAGTCTACACATCTGTGAGAGTGGTTTCTGAGTGGTTCTTTTTTGTGCTGCCGCTGACCTGTTTGGGTATCTACTGTTTTTAAGTGTATTCTTGGAAACAATTGTTTAGGGTCACCCTCTGCTCTACTCCGATTGCGTCAACATGGCATTATGGTTATTGTAGTTTCCATTCATTTACTTAAATACACAGGTCACATGTAAATGAAGCTTGATTTAAACAGAAACTGTTTTTTTTGATGTAATGCCTCTCTGACGTGACACCATGATTAAATTGGAAAGGCTTGTAAAGGTCCCCACTGTAACGATAAATTGGTCTCAGTTGCTGATGTCTCTTTACATTATTTTCCAAGTTTGATACTTTCCCCAGTAAAACCAGCTTTGTTTGAAGACTCTGTGGTTGATGCAGCCTGCGTACATGAAGAGACTGGATGGAGAGGCATGCTGCTCCTCAGGGGGAAAATCAAACATGACACTCCATGTTCAGAGCAATTACTGCTCCGCTGAGATGTCTGTTAAAGGACTGAAAATCTTTATGTTCCTTTCAATGCCTCTTTTAGCAACCAGCAGCATGGACCAGAGAGGAACTCACTCTCAGAACCACTCACTGTGCCCTTACCGGTTGATATCACGCTTTTGTTAGGAGGGAACACAGCTGGGGGTCTGAGTGGTGGGTTCACGGAGAAGTCACAGATCTGTTATAAAACTCTGTGAGTAACTTTTGGTTTATTGTGGTATAAGTTTTAATGGGAAAGTTCTAAAACAGGTGATGCCATGCTGCTCTCCTCACCTGTCTTGGGGTCCACAGAGAAGTAGGGCTGTCCGTGAAGGATGCTGTAGACGATGCGGGCACTGTTGCCATATGTGGGGTCATCTGCATCTGTGGCAGTCACCTGTGTCACATAGGCTCCTGAACGAATACACACAGAAATGTCCCATTTACAACCAGCTTATTACACAACAATTGGAGCAATGGAGTAAGTTAGGTGACATAGCATAAAGAAAGACAAGAAGGTCCACTAACATTATCAATATCCTTATTTTAACTTTCTTACTTTCCTGCACATAACCATAATTGTGCCAAAGGGTTTTCACACCTGCACATTAGAGCTCAGATGAATAAGAATAGGTTTTTTTTCTCCTTTGGTTCTTTGGCCTGGTGCACACTTTTAACTGTTTTTATAAATGTCAGACCACAGACATAATGACAGATGTTATTAATGTTATTATCAGAATGCACACTCTAGATGATTTGACCACAGAAAAGCTGTTTATGGGACATTTTTTCACAGTGGAAATTGAAGAGGCGTGAAATCACAAAGAATGGCAATTGCGAGCTTCTGAGTAGTCAGTTGGAGACAATTATTGTAAATATGTGTTTGATATTTTCACATCAAGATTGGGGATGACTCCAACACAATCTGTTGCATTAAGAGTTTTTTTTTAATACCCTCACACTTCAGGATTATATAATCGGCTCCAACTGACCACTAATCTGGAATGTCCCTGTTAGTCGAAAGGGGCAAATCAGGTCTAAAATCTGCCCGATTATCCTTAAGTGTGCACCAGCCCTTAGTGATTTATTCAGCATATGTGAACAGAATAATTAAACCCTGTCGTGGACCAAAATAACCACACCTGTAGAGGAGGCAGCCTCAAACAAACTGAAGTGCGTTGTTTGTTGTTGGGACATGATCTAAACTCGACCCAACAAACAGGTGTACAATAGAAGTATAAACTAAATGGCTCCTGCAGGTGGGTGTGATTTATATTCTGGAGAGTACAACTGTGGCAGCCTGTGTAGTAATAGCTCCATTTTAAATTGTTTTTTAAATCTTTTAAATCTCCCATGGTGTGTAGTGATGTGTCTTGGTTAACCTTTCTCTATATTTCTACTGGTTGGATTACCAACTTAAATTTCTGATGAGATACCAGCAGAAACTGATGATATTCCCATCAACTGCACTTTATGTTTAGTACTACAACTAATAAATGTTGAACTTTGCAAACGTTACATTATACTGTGCTATCAGGATTGAAATAAGGACACAGGATGAATGGACAACTGTAAACATGTAAATGACTGTGTAAATACGTTCTATTATTAGCCATTTCCTAACAACAGCAATTAAACATCCTGTTGTTATTGTCTCTCAATAAAAAGTACATAGGCCTTTACAGCAGACAAAGAACTCAGCTATAGCCAGGGAATATACAACCAACACATCTCTGCCTTTCAATAGGCTACACAGGGATTTATTCTGGATTCTTTTTTATCCTAGTGTCTTTAGTATTAATGGTAATGTTTTCAATATAAAACATATGGCTATTTAACTGATCCAAGAAGATCAATGAGTATGTTTACATGGACCAGCAGAGAATGTAGATATATTATGAGCAAACATTACAACCTCCACCACACAATTTTGCTAAATTAATTCTGCAAATTGATAAATAAAATAAATGATGAATGTATTTTTCTCTCATATGGGAGGTCTTACCCTTACCCTGTTAATGCTCTGTGTTCTTACTGAAAATATACCACAAAACAATTTGAACTATGTATCATACCGAATTTATTACATACCCCACCGCAACCACAAAACATCAGAGCTAGGGTTGGTAATCCTGGAAAGGCAAGAGACTACACTTAAAAAAAAAAATGTAATCTAGAAATCTCACCCACTCCCATCGGCCCCTCTTGACAAGCTATGCCTCCAAAACACATGAAGGTGCACTGCCTGACAACTGCTTAAAGTCTTTTCCTTTACTCGCTCACTGACTTCTGGCTCGGTCATTCACAGTGGGAGCACGGGCAGTGGGCACGAAGGCAGCCATGTCGGTTAGTGACAGATGAGTGTGCCTTATCATTTAAATTGGACTGAATGACACCACCTTTTTTATTTTTGTTACAGGACTTTATTGATGGCAATTGGGATGTGAAGAGGACTTCAACAAATAAGATAGGAAGTGTTGTAGAAACAACCACCCTACCTTTAAGCACTGGAGATAAATTATTAATATGGTGTAAATATCTGATCTCAGACGATCAGAGGCACCCTCTGAGGGGGAATAAACAGGCAACTCTGGAACAGGCTATGCCAGAACAAGCCATCTTAGGTGTCCTCTTTGCATTCTAATATATTTTTTTATAATATTTTATAGTATATTAGGCTTTTATAGTTAAGCCTAAAGCATGTGCAGTATGAGGCAAGTGTTGAAAGTATATCTGAAACTCTATGACAAGTCGTAGATTAGACCATGTTCTTTGAATTGAGAAAACTCTTCTTAGCAGTGGACTTCTCATAGACAGGATTATGTTTTATTATATGGACGCTTGTGCCGTTTGCTCCCATAGCTAATCTGCTACACCGTTTGTTGCCGTATTTCAGTGTAACAGAGACACACTGGGGTCAAGCTTCCCTCAGAGCACTTTGGTCCTCAGCTGAAGCATTAACAGCTTAAAGCATAAAGACCTTGACTGTTAAATTACCTCTCAGTAATGGTATTTAGCAGACAGATGGGCCACTAAGTCTGGCTTAGTGTGTGTGTGTGTGTGTGTGTGTGTGTGTGTGTGTGTGTGTGTGTTACAACTACAACTTAATATGTCCAGGCATATTGCAAAGTGAAACTTAACAGGAAAGCTGAAATAAAAAGCCTACACACATTTATTCTGTATATGGATTTCAGATTTTAGAATGTAAGTGCATCAGATCATAGGGTTGGTTACAGGCGGAATCTTAAAAAGATATTTATGTTGTCATTGTTTATTTTTACACCTCCACTGAAACGTCACAGCCCATTCTGCCTCTATGTCCTGTCATATTCCACCTGCCCACCAGTTGCTGTTCCGGCTGGTTCTCATTCCTAACCACTGGACCTCCCCACACATATTATTTCCCTTTGTTTCCTCCCTTGTATTTATACCAACTCCTTGTATCCCCAGTTAGTTACCACACAATTACCTTCTCCATGTAGGTTTAGGTTTTGTCTGTGTTTGTTTGTACGTCTCTAAACTATTCGTTATGCTAAAACAACAAGATGACCTGTTCATGTGTTGTTCAGGTCAGTTTCTTCTGCAGAGTATTCTCTCTTATGTCGTGCCAAGTAAGCCATTTTGCCAATCTGGATTCGAGTGTAGGTTATTTTAGTTTGGATCATTATTTTGAAAGCCCGCAGTACACTCATCAAGCAAAGTTCCAATTAATATTGCAACTTCTATACTTGTCAAAAGCATCATCCAATTTGTCCTGGATACTTCACATTTTGCTCATTCTCTGTGACCTCATTGTTCTTCTATTGGGGAATTGAAGCGGGTCATTAAATATTTATCAAATGTAGAATATAACAGTACATACAGTATATTTAGAAAGGCTTCTTTTGTCCTCTCCTCTCAGCCGCTGACAGCCTTCTTACCTGTTGGGGACATCTCCGGGACACTGCCGCTGTACGGTCCATCTGGGAATCGTGGCTCATTGTCGTTGATGTCCTGCACCTTGATGATGAACTCCGACTCTGGTTCCAGAGGGAGACCTGTGTGGATGTCAACAGCCTGGGCCCTCAGCGTGTAGTAGGACTTTTCCTCCCTGAGAAACAAAATATGACACACACTAATGAAAATATTTTCAAGCTAGAAAAAGTGAAGTCGGCTGGTCTGTAACGTGATATTCAGGTGTCCACATGTCTTTTTGTGAGCTTGTGTTTACACCAACACTGTGAGTTTTAGCAAACAATACACACACACATCAATCACACAGACCTCAGATTATGCGTTTTCAGTGGATTTGGGTCATGGGAGTCAAGACACTTGGGGCGTGAGTACATGTCTTAGAATCTTATTGTCATGGCAACACCTCACCTATTCACCTCACTACTCTTTTACCTTTGACCTTTAGATATTAATAACTTGAAGTTCAGCTTTTTAAGTGTGTTCACCATTTCAGCAGTAGGAAATATGTCTGTATACGCTTAATGGGAGATTCAAGTTACCCTGCAATTCAACATAAACTGTATCGTAACTGATGGTCACATACCATTTTGCATTGAGGCAGATTGAATAGAAACTCAGTTTGAATACTTCTGGATGAGAAGAATGATACGAGTATAATTGAAGTCTGACACAGAATATACTTGGGATTTATACAGACATGGCTGAAAGCACTAGTTCTGTTATTACTCATTGAACCAACGTTTTGTTCCTCCTTACAAGTGGAGGAATTAAAGGCTGTTTTGACATGCATACCTCCATGCATTTGGAATTCATGAGAATGGCCCTCCTGTTGGTCGTCTTTGGTCAGTGAGACAGGATTTAGCTCACAGAGGAAATCATAAAAACAAATAAAGCAAAACAGGAATGAAGACTTCTAATGACGAAATAAATTCTATGTTTTGTGTGTATTTACACACATGCAATATAAGGAGATATTGAAATAAACATAGGCATATACTGTAAATGAATATATAGACTATTATGATTATATAATCTGTGCTGTACATACCTATGTCTACATATGAATATATATGAATGTTTGTGAATTCTCTGTAGTATATAATATGATGTAAATATGGTATGCAAGTACATATAAAATATAATATATTATACTTGGTATACATTATATAGATAATGTGCAAGACGGTATGTATGTGCAAAATGACATTTTTATGAAAACTAGTATGAGTAATGGTAAGTACAGTAGTTGATATATGGAGACAAAATAGTGCAGCATTTATTTTGTAGAGTCTGACAGCAGTGGGGATGACTGCAGAAGGGTTTGTTTTTTACACAGTCCGCTTCTGAAATATGCAAGCCAATGCATTTGCAATGTGATGTCATCGTCAGAATAATGTCTTAGTTAAGATGGGAGTGATTGCCGGTCTGACAGAACATGTGAACCATAACTACTGTGCATTCGTTGCCTAATTATAACTGTGATTTTTCCATAAAACCCACTCACACCTAACCCACAGAGGATTTTTGGGTTATTTTGTTTACACTGACAAGGGACTTTTTGAATGCACATGTGTACATCTATGAGGCTGTTGGAAGTTTCCCACCTCTGCTCCTCACTTGAGACAGCCTGCTATGTAACCTGCCCTCAGCTGTTTCCCATTAGCTCACTGCTTTGGCTTATTAATTTGTTAATCTGAAAATTATGCAGCATCTGTCAGTAGAGAAGCGTATCAAATAATACACCATTAACATACTAACATACTATTACAATACATTCGCTTTATTAAACCTAGCTAAATGGTTCAGTTTGCAATCTAGCCAAGGTTACCGGCAGAAAACATTGTATATGCACTTTAAGCTAGAGACAAGAAAGGATGGGGCAATAACTTGGCAGTGGAGACTTTATGCTGACTGTGTTTGCTGTGTCTTATTTCCTAACATAAAGCAAACTAAATGCATTCTGTGATTACTTAGTGCTATACAGAGGTAACGGAGCATAGTGATGCAGAAATACAGATCATATCATACGTCATTTGGTCGGAATGGAATTACAGTGTTCATATTCGATAAAGATGCCTCAGTGGACTGGAAACAGCAGTGCATTAAAAAATAACAAGGGGCTGCATCACTTGGGCCTGTTGCTTTGTGTAGTGGTGAGACAGTAAATATATGACAAGAATATGTATTTACAGTTTTGTATCTTATCAGATCCCTTACAGAATACATACTGTGAGTGTGAAAACTGTGTTTTATGACTCTGTTATGACTGTGACAT